GGCACGACCTAGCTGGTGCTTCACCGGACCTACGCTCCATCCCCCGCGCTCCCGCCGCGCACGCCCCACGCTCCCGCCAGCACGTTGGGCTGCAGCTGCTCGCGGCAGGCCGCCAGGAAGGCCGGCCAGGCGAAGGCGGAGGAGGAGTTGCTCGCCTCCTGCGTCCAAGCGTCCAAGCGAAGCAGCGCGGGGGGGAAAAAACCATGGGTGTGGCAACCACAAGGAAAGTGCTGGTTTTGGCAAAAACCGCCAGTGCTTTTTGGGGTCGTTTCCTCTTTTTCATTTTTTTGGTAGGGGCCATTTGGGTACCTTTTTTCAGCCACACGCATATGCGGCCGATGCCCCTGATGGTTTCCAGTACCTCAAACCAACGCTCTGATCCGATCCATGCTTCCCGCAACGTGACGATGTGGGATATGCGCTGCGATAAACCCAACAAAACGCTAAGCTAAAAGTCTAGGGTGCTGGGAACTGCCAAGAAACGCTTGTGAAATGGGACACCCCCAAAATCGGTCTTTGAAGAGTTTCAGTCTTACTTATTTCAAGTTGGTTTCCGACCAGGTTCTTCCCTGTTCTTCGTGTTTTTGAGTACAGTGTGTGTTTTTTTTCAGCTGTGGGGTGCCGACATGCTTGAGGCTCTTCAGGCCTTCCCCCGAAAAAACAATATGTTTCCCTTGTTTCATCCAGATGCCAGCGCCAGCGGTGGGATGTGTGGTGAACAAGCACGAAGCGAAGAAAAAGCTCGTGCCCGCTGCTTCCATGGGAAGCAAATGCGATCTTGTCTCACAAGATCGAGCTGGAAAATATGTGGCGACTGACAACATTCAAGAACCAAACTGCACAAAAGGATATGGAAAGCCCTCTGCCCTGTCCTTCAGAGATGCGAAGATCGGCGAAACCTCACCCAGACCTGACGGCACTTCAGCCGAAGAGATTCTTGGAGCTGTCGGACTTCCATCTGACACTCAAAACCTGGAAAACTGGCCTACCATGCAAGCAAAATTCAAGCGGCTGCACCGTTCTTTTCTAGTTGGGACTCGGGGCTCTCCCTGGTTTTGGGGAGTTGGCTCATCTGCCAAAGCAGCAATATCTTGCTGGGAGCCAAAAATGCCACCTGTCAGCTGCTTCGCCCTATGCTCCTTGTGCGTCAAAAGTAAGGACCATGCCGTAAAACAACTATTGGGTGACTAGGGGGCCACTACGGGGCCCCATCAATGGTGCATTTGTTCCTTTGGTTTCTCCTTCAAGCCACACCAAAAAGGGTGCCCTCAACAGCAGACCCATTGAACTTGTTGGTTCTCAGTGGGACTCCCAAACCGAACTTAGCACACCCCAAACCGAATCATACCATGTGCTTGCCACTCAGGGGACTCCCAAACGGTTTCCCAAAACCCCTCGAACGATTCCCGAGAACCAAGTTCATCGAAAGGGACGATTCCCCACTCGCTTCCCTTCAAGGAAAAAAACAAAAAACGATTTGAGGGGATCCCTTTTTGGGACTCCTTCCTTTCGGAAGCCCTGACGAGCTGGGGGAGTTGCGCATCTTTTTTTCAGAGGACCCCCAGCACCAGCCAGCACCGCCCGCGACGCGCATCGCGCCTGAGCCGGCCTCAAAGGCCTCCTGGATGTTGTTCAAGCGCTGCTGGAGCGCCGAGGCCTTCCGAAATTGGATCGAACGATTTCGAGGGCCGCAAGGGCGAAAGAGAGAAACACCTCCGAGACTCCGAAAGGGCATAGGGGAAATCCGAAAGCACCTCCCGGTTCTTGTGTTTTCATTCTCTGCTTGGTGGTGAGTCCAGCTTCTTAGGTTAGCTTTTGTTTTTTTTCCTTTTGAGGGGATAGGCATAGGTGGCCTTTTTAGGTTTGGTTGAACATATAGATGGGTTCCAGCGGTTTAGATGGGTTTTGTGCTCCATTTTCCATGGCCATCTATTTTTTCCGAAAGACCACCTATGGACATAGGGGAAAATCCGAGAACGCCCCTGGGATTTCTTGTGGTTGATGGTGAGACCGCGGGTTTTCCTCGAAAGCAGTAGAGTGAGCGAGGCCCCTGATGTTTTCAGAGCTCTTTCTCCAATCCCTCTCAAATGGAGCATAGACTGGGCATAGTGCTAATCAACCCCGTAGGGAGTTCTTCCCCCCAAAAGTGAAGGATCCCGTCGAGAGACTTCCCCCCTTTTATCCAGAGGCTTAGATCATCCTGGGTGGCACATATGCTGGAATGGATAAAGACTTGCTTCCTGAGAGGGTTGGCTAAGCAAGGTCCAAACTTTTTGCCACCGAAATGGTCTTTCCGAAAGTTTAATGTTCACAAATTCGGGAAGTGAGAAGAGGCTTCTGCCTGGTACAATTGCCAGAAAACTATGGACTTCACTGGCGCCTCGCCGTTGGAGCCAGCTAGACCGAAAAGCTGCCGAATCCTTGCGGCTTCGCAGATTTGGGTCAAGGCAAGTTGCAGGCTCAATGGGTGTGCGTCCTTTTCTACGGGTTCCCATTCCGGGGTTGTTGAAGGTCCAGGGAGATCAAAAGGAAAGCCACCAACTTGGAGGACCATTGAAGAGACACACCCATATGCAGATGCCGAACAACTTCAATAGCTGACACCCTCAGGAAGAAGGAAGCTTGGAAGAGTTCTGATTCTGGTGAGGGGGAACACGTACAAAAGCAGCATGCAAGCACTAAACAGGGTCACCGGCAGCTTTTTGGATTCGGGTCCGTTCGCATGTGTCCACAACGAGCGGTAAATTGACAGATCTCACAAATGACTGTGATGTGATGCTCTCGTCAAAGGGTGTTTTGGTCTCAGAGAGTGCTTGCGGCTGTGACATGGAGACGACGACCTTGAGGAGCCAATCAGAAGTCAGAAAGACACCACGCCCGACGCTTCAAAACTGCCTGGGCAAAGTGTAGAGCTTCAGGCACCTACCTCAACGCTTCCACATCAGCTAGCCTTGCGCTTGGCACATACCCCAGACAATACGGACAATCACATCTTCAGATTATTTTCACATTTAGTCTAAAACAACAGATTACAATTGGAGGAGACCCCAAGGCAACAAACAAAATCCAAATAGGTTCTGGATCAACATTCAACGACCGGGAGTTGGACCGCAGGTTTTAGTCCATGTTTGCATTTACCAGGGCAAGCCATGTCGGGGTTACCCTATGTTTGACCCACAGCATGCGTCTTCTGTTGGGCTTTTTCGGGGCTATCCATTTCCCTTCGGGTTTCCCTTCAAACTTTCTCTTTGGGTATCCTTTTGGGTTTCCTTTTGGGTTTTCCCTTCCCCCAAATCTTTTCGCAGCAAACTTGCGGCGCGAAGATTCGGGTGGTGCTTCTTCAGGGCCATCAGCACATCTCGCTGTGACACCTCGTGGCCGAGTCCCGAAAGGGCCTGCCTCCATTTGCTATTTCGCCCCCTGGAAAGATAATCATATTTCCAATAGTGATACTGTAGATTCCTATTAAAACATCAGGGAAAAATACTTCGCTTCGAGCAATCCCCACCCTCCACACTCACGAGCTTACGACCGTTACAACAAATTCCTCCGCATCCTAGAGACTTCAACTCGAAATTCCCATCGGCCCTTTTGGACAGACTGGCGAGTTGCTCTGGCGGGATACTGGCGAACACTGGCGAGCCGCTCCGGCTCGAAACTGGCGAATACTTGGCAGGATCCACCGGCAAGGGATGCGAGATACTCGGCGGGATCCGCTGGCGAGCCGCTCTGGCGGGATACTCGGCGCGATCCACTGGCGAGCCGCTCTGGCGGGATACTCGGCGGGATCCACTGGCAAGCCCAGCTCTGGCGGGATGCTGGGCGGGATCCACTGGGCAGCTGCTCTGGCGGGATACTCGGCGGGATCCACTGGCGAGCCGCTCTGGCGCGATACTCGGCGGGATCCACTGGCGAGCAGTTCTGGCGGGATACTGGGCAGGATCCTCTGGCGAGCAGCTCTGACGGGATACTCGGCGGGATCCACTGGCGAGCTGCTCTGGCGAGATACTCGGCGGGATCCACTGACGAGCTGCTCTGGCGGGATACTGGGTGGGGGCGTGGTGTAGAAGCATCGCAAACGCGGATTCCAACATACAATCTATCAACCCCTTCCTGTCGGGTAGGAAGATTCCAACATAAAATCTATCAACCCCTTCCTGTTGGGTGGAAAAAAAAACATCTTGAGCAGATGGAAGCCTGCGGATCAGCGTTTTGTTTGGCGTAGTTTGGTGGCGAATCATCGCAACCTTAGTCCACGTTCCATGCCTCCAAGTTTGTTTGCGTAGTTTGGCGGCGTTGCTAGGGAAACCATCCTTAGGCGTCCGTGGCTCCAAACATCTCCAAACCGCACCTTGATATTGAGCTCGATTTGCCCGGCCGATCCGAGCAAACAACCAATAAACATTGGTCCTCAGGATGCGGGACACACGAGTAGCTCCAGAGGAGAAGCCGAGCGATACCACGGAGCGGTGGTAAACACATGAAGTGGAATGGGAATGGAAGTCAGAGAGAGTTTAGGGAAGCTACCTGGATCTGCCTGCTTGAGCTCTGATTCCAGCATCGCTACGCTCCTGCTAGCGCGCACAATTGCCACATGCTGATACGACACGAACCCATCCTACAGTACATCAATGCATGCACCCAAAACAACCTAGGATCACAATCCCACCGGGACCCGCTGTTAGGTACCCTTTTGATTTTGCCAAGGTCCTCGAGTAGAGAGGTTAGAATAACGGTGCCCTTTTTCTGCAGTCTATTTTAGTAGGGGAACCCTCCCCCCAAAATGGGTAACAGGGCACCTAGCTAGCTAGTTGCTTGGTTCGCAGTAAAAAATGCCAAATGACGGGCTTCTAATTGAGAACCAAGGGATCAAAGATCGAGAACCAGGTGTCATTTCATCGAGATTTGGACCCCCCAAATGGTGGGTTCATTCTGTTGTCCTAACCTAAAACTTGCTGGTTCTTAGCAGGGAGTGAGGGAATGACCCCTACAAACCCTCCCGTATGATTTCCTTTGAGAAAATCCCTAGGCTCCTTCCCAACACCCTGGCTCATTCCTCAAAAGAGAAGCTATTGAGAGGCTCTCAAACATGGACAAGATCGGGGTGACCATCCCGAAGAATGGCGGCTTTCCAAGCTGTTCCATTTGGTATCCCCTTTAAAACGCGGAACACAAACAACGGCACCGCCACGGGGCCCTTTAAAGCAACTCGACATTTTATATATATATTTTTGTTTTTCGACCAGCCCTCGCGGCATCGAGCTCTGGCCTCACCCTTGCCGCTGCGATCCAGCAAGTCGAAGAGCTTCTTGACGCTCTCTTCGTCTGCCTCGCTTTTGGCCTCGGAGAGTCGGAACGGAAGCGGAACGAAGGGGGCGGGAAGGCCAGGGGAACACTGGAAAGCTCAAGTCTTCGGTGGTCTGAGCAGGTTTGAATCACAGACTAATTCAGAGCCATACTGTGGATGGACAAAAAGTTGCACCACATTGAAACCCTGTTTGAAACCATGCCAGCGTTTCTCCTCGGTGCAAAATGGACTTCGTCCCGCAGTGGGAAGAGGAACCATTGCAGCCTATTGCTAATTCAGGGGCCATGACCTTACAAACACTCGTGAGTTGGCGAAATGAAGCATTGGATTGAACGGACTAGACATTTTGTTTGACGGGGTTAAGGGAAAGCAAGTTCGGAAACCCATGTTTGTTTTTTCTCCTTTTTTTTCTGACCAAGGGAAAGCAAAACAATGACACCATTCCCATCACGATTGGAGTTAGGCCCAGTTATAGAATGCATATCTTATTGTTTGCTTCACTTTGAGCCACTGGTAAAATGTAGAATTTGTATCCTAAGTCTACCCCAGCCATTATTGGCTCTTTCCCAGTAGTGATGAATTCCTGTTTTAAAAAAAAGGAACACATCTTCAGCAAATGGAGGATTCCCATTTTTGGGCCTTTCCGTTTTGACAGATACCCCAAATTGTCGTCCCGTCCTCCAAGCGCTTGGAGATGCTGCGGGCAGCCCTCGCCACCTCTGCCCGCTGCTCTGCCTCATGAACGTCACTTGGATGTTCAACTGGGTATGGGCTTCCAGGAAATGGACCGCACGTGTTGGTCCATGTTTCCACTTAGCAGGGTTCACAACTTATTTTGATTACCATGGCCACAAGTGGCGAGTGAAACTGCAGGAAAAAAAGAAGCCTCCGCTGAAACTTACTACACGGTAGCGATCCTGTGCAAATACAGTCGATGCACAGTCATGGTTGCCATGGCCACACGTGGGCCAACCGGGGTTGGCAAATGTGTGCCAGCCAGCTTCTTACTTTGGGGTCTGCACGCCCAAGTACTTGCACGGAGTTGTCCTAGCCAGACTTCGAGTAGCCTATGGATGCAACCCTCTGGTTTCCTCCATTTGCGTTTTCGTCCCCTGGAAAACAAAATATCTCCAGTAGTGAAATCGATTCCCTTTAAAACCAACAGGGGAAGAAAACAAGTCATTTCACCCAATGGAAGGTTTCTGGTTCCCATAAAATTGGAACCAGCATCCCCACGCCTCTGACTGCGCGGAGATGCGGAGGGGAGTGCCTGCGCGAAATTCGCAGGCAGTGCCCGGAGTCAGCGTCTGCAGAGATTCTTAGATTCGGGCCAGTCTCTTCTTTGCAATCACCTAGAGTCGACCTAAAATGAGGACAGGCCGGATCTCCGCCCTCCGTCTCCATCTACTCGGGTTTTACGTGCTAAGTAGACTATGAAAACTCTCCCAATCAAGCTGGCGCCTTGGCCGAAAAAACATTGTAGCGCAGAACCTTCGGGACTCTTATGGACATCAGAAATTTGGTTTCGTGTCAAGTGGGGAAAGGAATTCCAGCCATATGTGTCCAACCACATGTCCATTTTTTCTCGGCCAGGATACATTTCCGAACCATTGGGCTTGTCTCTAGGGAACCCCCCCCAAAATGAGTCTTTGCCACTTGATTCCCCCCCCAAAAAAAAAACACATTTCTAAATAGGGAACCCCCCCAAAACAACAAAAGTGTGTTTGCCACTTGAAAAAGAGTAATCCCATAAGAGAAACAACAAAAACATGAGCCGCGGGTGACTCGCATGCGCGCCTTTGCCCTCCTTGGCTTGCTTGGCGCTCTTCTCCACGGACTCGGTGATGGCGATGGACGCCTGATGGCGCTGAAGCGGGCGCAATGCCTCCGAGACCCCGCGTTGCCACGGCACCTCTTCTCCAGGTGTCAAATGGGGCTGACCGTCCCTACAGCTTTGGCTCCACTGCCATTGGTCGGGATTTGACTTCCGATAGATTATAGGGTAGGGGATACTGTGCGAATGAATGAAAGGCTTATTGATGCGTGTATATATATATATATTCATAAATGGTAGATATATATATATATATACATACGCATGGTGCTCGCGATTCTCCAGGCTCTTGGCTATCATGCGCTATGAATCGGTTTTGCTCCAGCGACATGGGCCTCTTCTCGCTTCTGGTCCCGGACGTCCTTCTTGTGCTGCTCCTTCTCCTGTCCGTTGAAACGACTGGTCACGCCGGACTCGTACTCCCATGCAGATTCATATACAAAAAATATACATATATGTATTTACTCCCATGCAGGTTCATATATATATATATATATGTCAAATGTATTTGTGTCTATGGGTTGCGTGTGTGCTGTTTGGGGGTTGAAGTGAGGCTCCATCTTTTTACCACATCTGACCTGGTCAGGGTCTTGAGGTTCATGCTGCCCTTCGCGTGGCTAAAGACATCACCAAGGGAACTCAGCTTCGGGAAACAAGCGGCTACCCTTCCAACAGATTCACAGAGGGAAGTCGAACCAAGAGGCATCTCTTGCAGCTTTTGCTTCTCTCCATGTGAAGCTGCCAGGGAAGCGTGCTTCACAGCCTTTCAAGGGGACAAACAACGGGACCTCGACTTCCATTTGCGATAGCCGCCTGGAAAAGCTACATATTCCCGTAGTGAAATCGATTTCCTAAACCAACAAGGGAAAATAAGAACATAGCCTCCCACCAGCTGACATGGAAGCGTACAGACCCCTGTAGAAAGACTACTTTCCTCTTGGAAAGGGCCCAAATGAGTCGGTGGGAGGGTATGTCCTTATTTTCCCTGGTTGGTTTAGGAACTCGATTTCTCCTCATTTCAGGTGGAAGAAAACTCCCACCTTTTCCTTTAAGAGCCACCAGAAGTGGGCGATTTCTCGAGGTCCCGAAACCTCGAGACCCCCGAGCCAATGCGCCGATGCGGCGATGAGCTGCCTTCAGGGCGGCTTCGCGCTCAAGCTTCTTCAAGCGCGCCTTCTCCCGCTCTTTCAGCATGGCCTCCTTGGCCTCGCAAATCGATCCGGGCGGAGTCTCCGCTCGGATCTGCAAGTCGAAAACTGGGGGGTGAAATTCGGAAACCGGACAACCACCTGACCTCCCATGATTCTTTTTTCAACTGCTCTGTCCGTTTTCAGATGTCCCGCTAAAAGTGTCACTTTTAGTCAGTTAAACGGAAATCCCGACTAAGCTCTGAAGAAACTAAAAAGCTAAGGGGATGGCTGGGAGCCGTCCTTAAAAATGGTTTGGCTTTGGTTTCCTACAAGTTGCGGACTGGTTTTGGCTTCCTGTGACAAGGGTTTGGTTTTGGTTTCCCAAATATCAAAGGGGCTCCGAATCCCATTTTTTGAAAAATAGGAGAGGGTGTTGGATTCCATTTTGCTAGTCCACATGGCTCACACGAAGAAGAATTCCCTCCAGTTTAACATGGCCCAAGAAGGAGTTTCTCTACAACGGCCGGTTTTTGCTTGTATCAAGAACAGAAGGTTCGGGCTTCAAATGATAAACTTACTACGTTACGTAAACAAACTACAGGAAAGCCTACAACTTAGTCAGCACACCAAAACCAGATAGTTTTTGGGTAACTTCAATTTCCTGTAGCTAGTTTCTTAGATCAAACAGAGGATGATCCAATCTGCGAAGTGAGGGCAATGCTCCAGGGTGGGTACTTCCACTGCCTGAGGCATGAGCCAAACAAATCAGCTGCGCAGCAAGTTAGCATCCGAAATATGTGTGGATACCATGCATGGGGCCCCGGTTCATCGTGTTGGGACAGGTGGGGGGGAGAGTGTACCTTGGCCCAGTTTGTGCGAGCTGTCACTTGCCAGTCCCCATTGGGCCCCAAACCATTTCAGACTCCTGCATGAAGAGACCTGCTCGAACTTTGCCGACCTAGCCCGCCTCAAAGAAGAGCAACGCCAAGCTGAAGAACCAAGCGTAGGACTTTAGAGACTGAACATCAAAAGCAGCTGCGGATCATCGAAACATCAACCCAAAACCCTCTATCTGTTTCTAGCGACACCCCTCCCAGCGGCATCTTTTAACATGAACTAGAGTGAAGGTAATTCACGAGGGTGTTTTGTATATATGTATGTATAACATATTATATGACATATGACGCATGATATATGATATGTATGTAAGTATATATATATATATATATGATATATATATATATACATATATTATGTACGGGTATTTTAATTGCCTTGCCAATCCGGCCGACACACCCTGCCTTGTCTTTTGCTGTCTTGCCTGCCTCCTTGGGCTCCTCCCTCGGCGTTTGACTCGAAACGCGGGTGATTGGTAAGCAGCAGGGTACTCGTGGCGTTTCTTCCTTAGACCAAAAGGCGCTTTTGGGGTATCCATTTTGAGAGAAAACACGCAAACAAATACAGACAGTGCGAGGGATCGGCGTTCTCGTAAATAATGTGATGACCTGACTGACATACCGTACCCGAGCATACAACCATTGAGTTAGATGACCGTACATGCAAACAGCAGCCCCCCCCCTAAATATATCATAAAGTCATGCTTCTTTGTTTTCGGCACGTCCACTGGCATTGAAGCACTGGTTCTTTTCAGGGAACTCTAGCCTTCACTACTGATTTTGACAGCTGTGGCCATTGAGAAGGCACATATACCACAATGATTCGTGCTAAGCTGAGCATGAAGCGGCTTTCGGTCTTATATGCATACCTTGCCCTGAAAAGCGCTCAGTACAATGCTTCGCCGAACCGAATCCCCCCACGGAATTCTCAAACTAGCAATGTCTGTAAATGATTGCTGACCTCTTGCACGTGGCTGCCCACATCATGGCGTTTCACTCAGTTTGCCCCTGCATCGGTAAAATCGCTCTAAACCCCAAACACACAACATATGCAGCTTTTCGGGCGTGGTGGCGAACTTTAACAGGGAGCTTCCCCTCAGTTTAGACATCCACCCTCCAATTCATGTCCACCAAAGGCTCCAATAAACTGTCTTCTGATCGCGTGGGATGGGCCAAACAAAGTACGCACACTTTTTGTTTACCATTAAAGATGGTCCAAGCCCAAAAAGTGACTAACTAGGTCTTCCAGTAGAGAGGGTACCAACATTTTTCTGTACTTCCCCCCAAAAACGGGGAGTCCCGGAGCTCGGGATCACGCCAGGCCGCTTCTCGCGAGGAGACGCGCGCGGCTCCCGCGGCTCCCGCGGCTCCCGCGGCTCACGGACCTCCCGGCGTCCGCGGGGGCGGCGGCCGTCGTCACGGCCGCGGCCACGGTGCCTGACGCGAGGCGAGTGGACCGCGGTCCGAAATTTCAAAATGCCAAGCTTGGAAGATGCCAACCAGAACTCGCGCGCAACGGGGTGAAAAGGGTGCTGAACGCCAGAAGGAAACCGACTCTCCAAAACAAGAGACATGGGCACCAGTGCTTGGGCTTTAGTCCACTCCTTCACTGATGCGTGTTGCATCTTTCTTCTGTTCAATGAGTGCAGCCAAATCTTTTGATCCCAGGCCAGCAACATTTCACTCTTGGGAGGCTTGGCGGTTTGACGGTTAGGGGGTGGTTTCTTATGTACCCTTAAGCCCCAAAGCACCAAACCCACCGCTTCGAGGGTGACCTGCACCCGGCTTCCAACTGCCCGGCCTGCTGCGGGAGCGGGACCGAGCCATGCACGCGCGGGACAGGCACGGCACAGCACGCTCAGGCCATGGCGGAGCTCTTGAATTTGGGTCTTCAATTCATGATTAGAGTTCGGCCCAGTTGTAGAATGTAGATTTTATTGTTTGCTTCACTTTGAGTCACAGGTAAAATGTAAAATGTATCCTCAGACCCCAGAAATATAGAAGCCCCAGTGCTCAAGCTTTTTCACCCTCGCACCTATAAAAAGATGTGCTCGGCTGGATGCTCTCGGAGTTCTGGCGGTTTCTGTTGCTGGCTGTTTAGCACATGCTGCATGCACCTCTCTTGCTTCTCAGAATTGAATATGGGAATGCCCCGGTTCAAACGTTTACTGCGATACTCGTAAAAAATGGCAAACTCGTTGATTCATTTGTTGAATGCAAACATTTCTGTGGTGCGGGTGCTATCGGAACTCAACTATTCTTTGGTTCCATTTACCAAGGTGCCATTTTGGGTACCTAATGTTGAGCCACAGCCATTTGTGGAGAGTCTCCCTCGTGACGGCTTATTCCTCGGGCCTCTCTTACACCGGGCATCATCCACGAGGCTGGTGCGTGCGGTGCCGCTACATCCGAATGCAGCAAATGGCAGAGCCTGAAAAATGTCGATGGTTTTGAGGATGGTGATTGGTTTTCCAGTGACCTATTGGGCTGGCTTGTTACAGGGTCTCTTTGGAGCCACCATGGAGAGACTGCAGCAAATCCTGTGTGTTCGAGCCAGCGTCGCCCCTTTTTCGGAAGGCTCTCGCATCCTAAACCGATGTCCTAAAAGATCCAAGTTGGCCACTCCAAGTGGCAGTTATTGTAGGTCCTCCAGTAGAGAGGTTAGAATAAGGGTACCAACTTTTTGTCGGTCGTCTATTTTAGTAGGGGAACCCTCACCCCCAACAAAAAAGAGGAGACGTTTTATGCTTGGCACTGCCTTACTGTCCGGCGGCAAGCAGACTTCGGCAATAATCTTCCCCCCCCCAACCGCGGCGAATCCCCGATCCCCGCTTGCAGCTCACACGACAAAATGCTTTTTGATGCGTGGGATTGCAACTCTTTCACAGCTGCCCCTGCTTTCTCAGCGATTGGCGCTGTTGAAACTCTTTCTGCCGCTCAGCCAAACATTCAGACCTCGTCATGTGGCTATGGGACTGGAACTATCCGATGCTCTGAGAATGGCTGGCGCAAGATCTCTGCAAGCGTTAAAAAGCCGCGATGCAGCAAAAGGATCCTCAAATGGGCTTAAACAATCTCCAAAGACCAGGGGGGTTCCACATGTGGAGCCCCCTTGATTGACTATTCCTCGCTACTGGCGGCGAAAGGGGGGCTTCCTAAAGCTATCCTTCTGAAGCCTCCCTGCTGGCTCCTGAAGTGGCTAGCAAGATGTTCGTGTGGTTGAACCTCTAATTGATTAGATCTACCAGTTCATATTGAATGAGGAAGACAAGGATATTTATGAATACTACCAAAGGCACCTGAGAGTGTACGGCTTTTGGTGTACCTAATAGTGGCAGACCTCTTCGAAGCCAGCCGTGCTTTGAATTCTCAAGATTGACCTATCAGCCCAGTGTCTTTTGCTTGCACACTGAAGCGTTTGCCCTCCGGGATAGGTGGAATGCCTGGAGCGACGTGAGCCACGCATGCCAGGCCTCACCATTCTGCATCAAATGCGTGTTGCAGAGTCGGTTGGGACCAACAACACCTGCAGGAAAGAAGCAAACATGGAACTGCCAATTTGGGTGTTCAACCCACTTGGCTAAGGCGTTGCAACTTATTTTTATTTTTTTGTTGGAAACATATTGTGTATATATGTATACATATATATATATATATATAAATATATGTATTAATATGTATAAAATTTATAGCCCTGCTTTTTCTAACCCACTTTGACGGCTGAGCATCCAACGCCCGTCGGGAACAAACGAAAGGACGAAGGCCGGCTGCCCCCGCCTCGGATTTACCAGGCCTGGCGGCCAGGGAGTGAGGCTTCGCTCAGAAAAAGCCGGAAGAGCAAGGAACAAGGGAGAGCTCGCAGCAAAACTGGGCTGTCCTCAGATCCCCCGCTAAAAGTTTAACTTTTAGTGGGTCAAATGGAAATCCCCACTGAACACCAAAAAGCTAAACAGCGAAGGGGATGGCTGGGAACCACTGAGAAAACGACAGCTGTAGCTGGGCGGTCTTTCTCGCCTCTCTCTCGAGTTCAGCGACATAAATTTCCAAGACCCCAGGAGATGAGCTTTTCGAGCCACTTGACATATTTTCACGAGTGCGCACAGCCAACTCCATCAACTGCCTGAAAACAATCAAGTCAACATGCCCAAGGGATGACTACCAGACTCGGGTCAGCCGAAATGGGTAAGGGGTTTAGGGTGCGTAGCCAGGAACCCGTTTCCTGGATCTCGTTTTGGGGCCAAGACTAAGCCTGTCAGACAAACACCTCGAGCGCATTCCGGTGCCTCGACGTTGTATCGCCCCGTGATCTGCATGTCTTGGACATACCTCGCAAGCGCCCTGCGACTGGTCCATGCGGGCCCAAGAAACTGCACCTTCAGACCTACTGGTGGACGAAATCCATTTCGCACCACCCCAGAAACCCCGCAAGGGTGATTCCCCCCGTAAATACCAGCACATGGTTTCAACCATGGATTCAAAGTGATGGCGAAATGGAGTTTGCAACCATCCACATGAGCGGAAAAGGCGAAGAGCTCGACTTTCTGCTGGCCAAGGGACTTTTCAGCGTAGTCGGCACCTGGGAAACTGCGAAAATGACACATCGGGTGCCCCAAGACCTCCTGGATGGCTTGCCCCAGAGGCGTCAGTCCATCGTGCCAAGGCGGATTTCGTCCATCCACAGTATCACCATTCATGGTGAAAGTAGATGGCAGCAAATCGGTTTGTCGCTAGGTACACGGGATGACTAAGCCATAGGGGAAGTGTGCAACATTTTTGTGCCGTAGGGTTCCTTGCCCCCGTTGAAAGAAAGGCAAGGACCCAATTTGGATGATGACAATAGGAAAACAATGGTGGGTATGTTGCACCCCATTGTTTTACTGGTGGTTTGAAGGGTGTGCCATCTGATTTTAATCAACCTGTGGAGAAACAGCACCGCCTGGCTCGAGTGTCACGAGGTGTCACGAGTCTCGCTCGCGCGAGTGTCGGATCCTTTTTTCTCCGAAACGAAACGAGGTCCCCGCCCTGGCATCGGAAAGTCCAGGGCCTTTCACCGCGCAAGTCAGAAGCCATGGCTAGAAGCCTGGAACCCAACCTGCCTATTCACGATCGGACAGGTTCCTCCGGCTATCTGCACGTTGAGGACAACTAACAGATGCCAAAGCAAAAAAAGTTCGGGCAGACAACGCTCTCTCTGATCCAGGACAAGGCCAAGTCAACGCCGCTGGGCAGACGAGGCGACCGCTGTACAGGTGAAGCCCTCTCGTGGACTCTATAACGGCCCCTGGATCAAGCAAAATAAGCAGCGGCGATGGGGTTTTGATACATTTTGATACGTTTTGATACGTCTCGCGCTTGAGGTCTGCGATGTCTGTCTCGATCAGCAGCTAAAAAACCACAGCGCGCCAAGGATCTGACTTCCAAGACCCATAGCATGTCTATCCCATGGCGAGTGGAACAACGCGTGGCTTGACGTCCACGAAAGTGGACTCAAAAATGACACAGTCTTCACTGAGATGGAAAACAACGCTCTTTGGACGGCGATAAAGGCAAGGCCTTGCCAAGTGAGGCATGCTTCTCATATTTTTGATACTAAGGCTTTCTCTGTGTCTTCGCGGGTTGTCAAGGCCTGCCAGCCCCAAAGGGAATTGGATGTTGGATGCTATCCTTCTAAAAGTCTATGGCGATCGGGTGGCTCATGGCAGACCCTCCCACCTGTCGTGGTCCTGAAGCTGCCGAGGGGGTTTCGTCCAATGGCTTTCACCGAGCTGCTCGGATATCCAAAGCAAGCACAACACCCGTTGACCTTTGGGTCTACCAAGATGGGGGTGTTTCCTCCACTCTCTCTCTGTCTTTCAGTGAAAGGAACTTCAGAGTGACAAAGGTCTAATGTCCCCTTGGCCGCCTTGGCCCCTTGAATGGGTTTCTAGTAGGATCCGAAAAACACATGATTGCTCTTTGCACGCCATCAGAACTCTTTTAGTAGACCCTGTTGAACGGGATCGCCCACGGTCCAAAAGAAAAGACTTGAAGCCAGTAGCCCTTGACTCAACTTGCTCCTTGTCCGGGAGCAGCCCCACCGGTACTTCCGTTGATTCGCCTGAACCGCGCCAAAATGTGGAGCAAGAAGCTGCCCAACGTCAAAATCTCGGGACAAGTTCTAGTTCCACCTCCCTCTCTACCATCACGTCGCAATGGGCACATGTCAAATGTCGAGCACCTACTGCAATGTACGCAACATAACAACACAATAGCATGTGCACGGCCGGTTCTTGTTGTTGTTTCTGGCGTGCGTGTGCTGGCTAGCAAAGCTGACCTGCTGCAAGCCCATACGCAAGTTCTGAGGACACCTGCCAACAAACTGCTTAAAGATTGCATGGCACAACAAGTGCCAGAGGCAACGAATGGTGTGTGAGTGTGTTGTGATTTGAGGTGTGCTGTGCGTTGTGCATTGTGTGCTGCGTGTTGTACACACACCCACATACGCTCACACACACACACACGGGTATTTCTCCAAATTTGGGACCAATTCCAATTGAGATGGCTGGTTTGCTTTCTAGGTTTCCAAGAAAAACCAACCCAACAAATCTAACACGTCCAAAACGGGGAACCTCCCCCATGTCGCTTCCCTTCCTCGTCCGCAGGTGGCATCAGAGTCCAAGCTGGTAAGTGACCTGCCACAGCTCGCTAGTTGGGTTTGTCATGTCTTGAGGTTACCTTGTTCTGTGGCTGTAAAGTTAAAAGGAAGAGCTACCATTTTGGGCTAGGTCCTCCAGTAGAGAGGCTAGAAATCGGGTATCCTTTTATTCTGTAGTCTCTTCTAGTGGAACCCTCCCCCAAAAAAAGGGTAAAAGGGCACTACGGGAAGACCTAGTGGGGGGTCCCCTGAAAAAAGACAGACGCATTGGGGG